CCCATTCCAGACTCCGCAACGTTGATAGTAAATTGGTTCTGTATTGAAAGTACTAAATCAAGAATACGACCAAGACCATTGACAATAGCATTGCTTTGCACCAAATTGCATAGTGATGCAAACAGATCATAAGCATCCCGTACACTTTGCGAAGCAGAGTATAAAGTCTCCAATAATTATAACGGGCAATTGTTTTGATAACAATGATTCTAAACATTTAAACATGCTAAAATAGCGATTATCCGATATTTTACACGGTAAGTAAATTACACAACAGATAAACTGTATGCTACCCTTGTTCACCAATCCAGCAACAATCTCGTCTTCCGGTGTGCAGTCATAAACAGTACGTTGGACGTTATAGGGCTGGCGTACGGCAAGCAAAACACCACCGCCCCACACCCTTCCCTCCGGGTCTGTCCCGCCGTAGGACAGCATAGTTAGTCGGAAATATTTCAGTATCATAAACACTATGGTCGAGGATTGTTTCTGTAATTGCCAATATAGGGTTTTGAAATTGAGCCAGGGTATTATTTATGCTAACGGTCTTGGATTTTATTCCTCTTACGTTTTGGTAGAAAATCGTTAGTTTATATTTTTTTACTTTGTGGCGGCGTTTGGGGCTTCCAACATATCTTGACGAAAAAATACATTATCATTACAATTAGAATTGTTACACGGAGATATTATGTGGTGTTTCGTGATAAGTAAGAGCAACCTCATCAGATCTTCAGTGATGGTACGTAGTGCTTTAGACTTAATGAGTCCAGAGTAGGTGCGATACATATGATGATTGTATTCCAAGTTTAAATTGGTATCCAGTAAATATGCATACTCTTGTAACTCTGGATCCCAGTACAGCATGTTACTGAAGCTCTCCACTCGCCCGTTGAAGATATGCTTATTAAATCTGTAAGTTGGAAGGCACAGTATGACATTGGTGTGTTGAATTATTCATAGAGCTTCATTAACATAGCTGAGCAACTTAAAATGGTTCTTGGAGCCTATAAAATCCTCATCACCGATAAATACAATGCAGTAGTCCCTACATGTGAAGTTTTCCACCTTGCTTGCAATACCGTGTAGGAGTTCTTCTAATCCGCAGTGCTGTTTTAAGTGATGAATAATCTGGTAGTGATCAGTAAGTGCATTTTGTAAGGTAGAGAGAGTTTTATTATATTTATTGGAGCTAAGAGCACAAATTTTGGCCTTATTGAGGTTTCTTACATCAGGTTTATCCTTATTCGTATTACCAGTGACATCTGATGGTGAGTGGGTAAGATTATGGCGGCTTGTAAGCGATTTATTGCTATGTTTTCTTTGGATTTTATACTAAACTACTTTTAGTATGAGTAGAGCCAGGTAGATACTGCCAACTTACCTATTTCTGTCGATAGGCAGTAATGTAAGCATTATTACAGCGTTCCGGTTTTGAAGGGTAAAGGTGCTGGTGAAATTACAGGCACATGGAACTTTTGAACTTATGTCTCAGGGTGACGCGCGCATGACATTGACAGAGCTTTAAGCACTGCAACTATTTGACTTTTTCGCCCCGACGACGCTCTGTATTATAAAAAAATCTTAATAGGTTGTTAAATATAATCATTACATTATGAAATTATGGTTGTATTGCTCACCAATTCTCAATGATTAGCTCGCATATGTGTTTTAAGAAATGCACAACAGAAATTTATTTTTCGTGTATATGTGTAGACAATGCTATAATTTTGGCGTCCACTACAGTTCACACGCCACAAAGCAAACTCAAAGTTTAATTTAATTTCTTGCTTAAACTTAAGCAAACTTCGATTTGTAAATACTAAAAACTTGCTTAGATCGCCATCTTGCCTTGGTAAAACTCAAAGTTCGTTTTGTAAAACTCCGCCTTCATAGGTTAGACGTGGGTTAGACCAAAACTGACATGTGTATATTTGATATGATAATCTCTGTAGGCAGCGAGCTTTTTATTCAAATAATAGTAGCTATTTGTATAATAGTAAAGGCGCCATTAATGCGAGACAGCTACAAAATGGAAGCTATCTTTTTAACCGAATTCAAAAAAGGAGGAGGTTCTCAATTCGACTGTATTTCTTGGTGTGTAAGTTACGCGATTACTCGAAAGAGGGTACCCATTTAAATTTGAAAAAAATATTGTATCTGTAAGGGATGAATTGATTTCAATGAAACTAATACAAATAAATGTAATTCCACGAACTTTGAGGTCGATTTTTTGAAATAAAATGTTACAATTGTTAAATAACGCATACACTCAACATACCCGCACCAGAAAAATCCTGTATCGCGGGTGCCATGGACATACACATAGACAACCACAAATTACACCCAAACTCACGAGAGAAATAACTGTAAGCCATACAAATATTTCTTCCGGCCCGGTAATCAAACCCGGTACCTCTGCATAGCAGTCCAGTATGGTAACCGTTCGGCCTCGGAGACAGTTAAATACAAAATGTTAAATTTAAAAATATTATTTTACAATAAGATGGATCGACTAAAACTGCCATCCTTGTCATAAACAACGCACCTAAAGTTTTGTTCTTTGTATAATGTAAATTACACTGGTTTTGCTTGAAACTAAAACTAAATAAGATGTAAATAATCTCAGTACAGCGTACTAAAAAAGCCGATCTCAGAAGTACGTGGAATTACATCTATTTGCCAAGTTTTATTGAAATATCCCCTAGTTCGCCACTATACAGGACTTGATACATAAAAATGAATGTTCATGTGTGATCAGCCACCCTTAGAGGTGGATGATTTTCTTCAAAATGAAATGGGACTACTATGGAGGTTCACAAATACCGGAGTTATCGCTTAACATACATACAAAAAAAAGAAAAAACATACAGACGAATTGGGAACCTCCTCCTTTTTTTGAAGTCGGTTAAAAATACCGCTCATGGAGGATTCTAGATCTCACTGCGCTGATTCATGTTAATATGGAACAGGTTATGTTTGATGGAGCAGGTTTTACGTTTCATCGACTGTTTTAAAATATTTATATCCTGTTTTAAAATTAGTTTTGGTTTTTAGTATGTTTAATGTACCCTTGAAAATTTTTTCGAAATGGCGCTATGGCCTGTAGAAAAGCAATATATTGTAACATTGTAAAAAGCCTCCTTATATTTCTACAATGATTGCTTTTGACCTTTGTGTTGAATGTACACGCAGACGCTGTGCGACATTTCGTGTATGGTGTATATTTATGACTTGTTATAGCTTCGCGCCATGACTGCGATGCCGCACGCCTTTGTAGTCAATACAATGCCTTCTTACATACCACGGCATACCTATTACATGTTACGGATAAATTGCGTAATTAGGCAATACTATATATTTCTTTAATTGGCGATTATTGTATATTGTCGCTTAGCAAAAAACACCGCTGAAGTTGGAAACCGAGTTTTTATACTTTTTAAAGTGACTAAAGTCGAAATAAGACGAGAATGTCAATAAAAATTATATAACCAATACAGGTACACCTATTAGTTATCCATAAATAGAGTACCCATAACTAACGATAGCTTGAAAAGTTTGTATACAAGAATAGATGCAGTTTTTTCGCTCTCCTTTAAAATTGCTCGAATGACTTAAGCAGTGTTGTATATTATATTGACTATATTGTTATGACACTTTTAATTATTCCTTAACACGGCTTTCCTACCATAAAAACACTTGTTCTTTACAGCATTTACTGTAATTGTTATGGACAGGCACAAGACAGTGTAGCTTATATACCAACCCTTAACTTTGGCGCTTATATTGAATGTAAGGCACAAATTGCAGCCAAAAAATTGGGTATCCTTAACAAGGTTAAGCGATATTTTACGCCTGGACAGCTCTTAACTTTATACAAAGCACAAGTCCGACCTTGCATGGAGTACTGCAGTCACCTGTGGGATGGCTCAGCAAAGTATCAACTTGAGACTCTTGATTCGATTGAACGCAGAGCCAGAAGACTTATTGGCGACGTTAAGCTCGAATCTAAAGTTCACAGTTTAGCCCACTGGCGCAAAGTTGCCCGTCTGTCGGTTTTTTACAGAATATATTTCGGTGAGCGTGCCCATGAGCTCCATCAGGTCATCCCGCCCTTTTACCATCGGACATCCAGACGTACGACGGGATATCATCCTTACTTGGTCGATATTCCCTTCAGGCGTACTAAGCGCTTTTCATCATCGTTTATTATGCGCACAGCCCAGGAACGGAATTCCCTGCATGCGTCTGTATTTCCGAATTCATACAACCCGGGTATATTTAAGGTGCGACTGAATAGGCATCTGGGCAAGCTCGTTCCACCGCAGATCCCATCTTTGCTTCGGAGCTAAGTAGTGATCAAGAGCAAGTCCAGTAATTTAAAAAAAAACGCGGAAAAGAAAAGGGCGAACGACTTGTTCATCCCGTTACTTGGTATTATTAAAAAAATATACTAGTATTCAACAAATATTTTACTATTTTTTATATTTACATTAAACCTTTCCACATCTCATGTAAAACTGCATCTGATTTTAATCAATATACATATATGGGTGTATGATAAGAATTTCGTGTTTTAAGTTAATAGAAAAAAATCATATACATAGGCTCTTATTTACTCTTATTTTACGTGAAACACTGAAATATTTTTGTAAACTACTTTTTTACTTGCTTAAAAAAGGTAACATTTTTATTTTGAATACATAATAAATTTTGTTGAAAAACTATGTTTTGATAATTTTTATTTGATCTACAGCACTATTAAAGGTGGTAATTCTGAAATCGCCTTGACTTTTTACATAATAACTAAGTACTGTTGATATTTACCTGCAACACACGCACGGGGATCCACACAGGTCGACTGGTTACGTAACCATCGTAAGTTATACGTAATCGAGCGAGCGGAGAGAGCAGTATTGTCTGTAACATAAAATAAAAAATGTGATAGATTAAGTGAAAAATCACACAAAAATTTGGTGTATAAATAAAAGAACCAACCTCATTATGGATGTAAACAGGGAAGCAATTTTGGAGAAGGTATTTTATTGTAATTTCTTAATCTATTTTACTTTAAATTTTGAACTTTTTATAAATCTTCATTAAATAAATAAATAATAAATTGATTCATTCCGGTAATTAACACAGATGCATTAAAGGCCAATAAATTCTTAAAATAAATTATTATGACATGTTTACGAACTAAAAACCAAACTAACCTCTATAGAGGTAACCAAACTAACCTCTATAGAGGT